CTCCTAGTAGTAGGGCCAGGAGCCCCTAGTAGCGTCCATTGCTCCGAGTAGTAGGGCCAGGAGCCCCTAGTAGCGTCCATTGCTCCTAGTATACTAGGGCCAGGAGCCCCTAGTAGCGTCCATTGCTCCGAGTAGTAGGGCCAGGAGCCCCTAGTAGCGTCCATTGCTCCTAGTAGTAGGGCCAGGAGCCCCTAGTAGCGTCCATTGCTCCTAGTAGTAGAGCCAGGAGCCCCTAGTAGCGGCCATTGCTCCTAGTAGTAGGGCCAGGAGCCCCTAGTAGCGTCCATTGCTCCGAGTAGTAGGGCCAGGAGCCCCTAGTAGCGTCCATTGCTCCTAGTAGTAGGGCCAGGAGCCCCTAGTAGCGTCCTTGCTCCTAGTAGCGACGCCAGGAGCCCCTAGTAGCGTTCTTGCTCCTAGTAGCAATGCCCTTTGTTCCTAGTAGCAAGAATGCTCCTAGGAGAGTTCTTATTCCAACCGACTCTTTTGAAGGCTTTTGTGATCCGTCATAGAGAGATGCTGGATCCATGTGCAGGAAGGCGTTGTTGTCCATGCTGATTGTCGTCGAGCAAGGTGGAATTGCTCCTGGGGGAAATAACTTTGATTGCAAGCTCAGACGAGAAAGCACGGACATTGAGGACATCTTGTGCAGTTGCAGCTGTTTGTTTAGGTTGCAGGCCATCGCTAGTAGGTTGGAGGCCATTGCTTCTAGGTTGGAGGCCATCGCTAGTAGGTCGGAGGCCATTGCTAGTAATTAGGTTGGAGGCCTTCTGTTTTTTTTTTCTGCAGGACATGTTTATTGCCCACATTGGCGGCATGGATTGTTTGGCAAGAGGCCTCATTGGCGCGTGCAAGCTTGTCCAAGAAGGGCTCATGAAGAAGGCTCTAGAGACCAGGCGAGAACACACATAAAACAATGTCTCCCAGGAAATGTCAACTTGTCGCACATGTTTTTGGAGTATGTGTCGCATGGGACCAACTGTATTGGAGCTGTTGGGGTGTGGGTTGAGCAGGTCAATGTTGCACAGTGTTTTGCAGCGTTTCTGTTGCAGAGTGAGGTATTCCTCTTGGAATACAAGCAGTTTGGCGAAGAAGGTGGAGGATGGAAAGGCCACACTGGAAGAGATCGAGGCACTGTGAGAAAGGTCCAAAGACAAACATGTAACATAAACCTAATACTCCTATTCTTCACCTTTGTTTTCGTTGGACCTTTCTTCCTTTTGCTCCACGACCCACTGAACGTTGAACTCGTCAAGGCGTATGCCTTGGCGGCCTCAGAGCCCAAGACCTCAAGTGGCAAACAGGACAGGGACATGGACACATCCAATTGACACATCCGAAGAAATCAATCTTCTTACTGTATACTGTATACAGTTCATTCTTTTTCCTTCTCCTTCTCCTTCTTTTTCTTCTTCTTCTTCTTCTTCTTCATGTGTTTGTTCCAACGTTGACCGGTCTCGTCTTCGCATCGCTTTCCTCGGTCAGATTTGAGCATGCAGGAATACCTGGAGCAGCTGATAAACCGCTACATCTAGGAACGAACAACTCAGCTGAGCTCAGTGCGCTGCTGACCGGCAGAGTCACACAGAGTCTTAGTTCTCTATCTTTTGCATAGAAAAATGCGCTGCAAGTGAGAAGGAAGGGAACAGGAAGGGAAGAAAGTGAAAAAGGAAGGAATGAACACATCATGAGACCCAAGCATAGGAAAGTGTGTGGACAACTAGAGTCAAAGCATCCATCGAGAGTGAGTTAAGAATCCTCACCAGTTTAGATTGCAAGATTAGCACAACTTTAGAACAGGTCGCTCAAGCCCAACGCAGCTGTTCTACGACTGCAGCAAGGTATTAAATGCCTAGCTTTGGTTTGCAGTTGTCAGGTTGCCTTTGACCGATATTATTCCTTGCCCTTGGCCAAACCGACAATCGGAACCAACAATCCCCTTGTCCGTCGCCGAATTCACCAAACCATCCAATTCGTCCATGGAGGCCATCTCTACTAGTAACAAGAAGCTACTAGTAGCTCCTGGCATCGCTACTAGGAGCCAGAACGCTACTAGGGGCTCCTGGCCTTACTACTAGGAGCAAGAAGCTACTAGGGTGGAGGCCATCGCTATTATTTGTCGCCCCACCAAATCGCCCATTCTGTGGATCTTCCAGGCCAAAGCTTTGGGGAAGTGGCCCTGCTCCTGTGTTGCAAGTAGCTGTCTCCTTGCAGACGCCACAAAAACATCACGTTCTTGCATTTGAATTCACCAAGAGCAGCACCTGCCTCATTAAAGGCCTTTACACATGAATAAGCCACATTAAAAGCACAACATTCTGTGAGAAATTTGCTCGCTGTGCGTTTTGACCACACAGGTTGACTTTTTGCAAAGCACGCTATTTGACACTGCTTTGTGCACGAGAAGGCGCAAAAGCTCTGGCCAAAAGTGAAGTTTTGTAGGTTGTATTGCTCCCCACGAGCTGCCACCGTGCGAGTCCAGGGCCAAGAGAAAACGTGAACACGAAAACGAGTCAACCTTCGTGTTGGATCCCAACAAACAAAGTCCACTTGAAAGAAGCCTTCTTGAAGTCCTTAAACTCTTCTTAAATCCATTGGTACTAGGAGGCCATCGCTACTAGGGTGCAGGCCATCGCTCTTAGGTTCCTTTTGCTATTGGGTTGGCGGCCATCGCTACTAGGGTGCAGGCCATCGCTACTAGGGTGCAGGCCATCGCTCTTAGGTTCCTTTTGCTATTGGGTTGGAGGCCATCGCTACTAGGGTGCAGGCCATCGCTACTAGGGTGCAGGCCATCGCTCTTAGGTTCCTTTTGCTATTGGGTTGGAGGCCATCGCTGTACCTACTGTAGCCTTATTTGATATTTACCTTGCCTGCAGAGTCATGTAACGAGCACTGATGGCACAGCACCAAGGGCACCATTGATGCCGTCACCGGTTGCGGGGTTGTTCTTTCAGTCCTTCTTTTCGCGTTGTTTTGGAGTAAGACAATGCCGCAACGAAGCCAACATGAGTTCTGAGTATGTGCGGCCTACAATGAGTATGTTTGGAGCCAAAGCTCAAGCTCCTGCATTTTTGCTATGGTAGCTAGGGTAGCTGTGGGTAGCCGCAGGTTGCTGCTAGCTCTACTTAGCTCCAAGAATCAGTCTGACATGTCGTGCACATCTGAGGCTTTGATCAACTCAGTCGTTTGGGTCGGTTCCTTTGAGAGTCGGGCTGGTTCAAGTCAGTTCCCAGGTTTGACTCTGTCTGACTCAGGTCATTGACCGAGCGCAATTCAAGGACATTCTGTTGAAGGTGACTCAGTTGAATTGGACATGAACCAAATCGACGTTCAAGATTTGGACAATGCTAGTAGATTGGAGGCCACGGAGGCCATCGCTACTAGTAACAAGAAGCTACGGAGCTCCTGGCATTACTACTAGTAGCAAGAAGCTACTAGGGTGGAGGCCGCGGAGGCCATCGCTACTGGTAACAAGAAGCTACGGACGTGAGCTCCTGGCATTACTACTAGTAGCAAGAAGCTACTAGGGTGGAGGCTGCGGAGGCTGCTATTTTGTCAGATTTTGTTTCGACAGGCGCCTGATGCCAAGATCCAGGAATACCGTGGTGCACCCCTCAGCGGCATGCGAAGTGAGAAAGCTCTCAGCACGGATACTTTTGGACCACGTCCAGCCCAGGCATTTAGCGCCCTTGTTCCTAGTAGCGATGCCAGGAGCCCCTAGTAGCGTTCTTGTTACTACTAGTAAGGCACCTGTTACTACTAGCGTGGCACTTGTTACTACTAGCGTGGCACCTGTTGGTGTGAAGTAAGGGGGAGGTAGGGGTTCGTGGCGGTTAGACCCTGAAAGGGAGGAGTAGGATCAAGAAGCTACTAGTAGCTGGCCTTACAACTAGTAGCAAGGACGCTACTACTAGGGGCTCCTGGCATCGCTACGAACGGAGCAAAGGGCATCGCTACCAGGTAAGGCGAAGAGGCAAAGCTCTCCCCGGGGCTTATCGGAGCTTCGTATGTTAATCTTCTTTTCGGTTGGAGGCCGAAAGTAAGTTGGAGGCCATTTGCTATTGGGTTGGCCTCCCCCCACGCTTGGCACAGGTTACTTGGACACTGTTCCTCTTTTGCGCCTTGGCAGCACTGTCGTAACCTTGTCGTACGTCCGGAAAAAGAAGGAAACACTTAGCCAAACTTGGCCATGCTTAGCGTGTTGAAAAAATGAGGTCAGCTCTTCTCAAGGAAGAACGGAATGAGCTCGCACATGCACCACTGGCTGATTTGATTCGACTGCGAGTTATTCTATCTAGTACTAGTATCGGCATCATTAAGGACCCGCAGTGCTTGCTGTTTGTGGACAGACGCACAGCTCCTGTTTCTGTTACGATTTTTTGTTGCCGATTGCAGATGTGGGGTGGGGTTATCTGGCAAAACAAGATTTGTATCAAGAGAAAAACAGTTCATATCAGAACAAGCCCCTGGTGCCTTTGGTACCTGGTCTCTTCTTGGCCGTGGTTACATGGTTCCATGGTTTGCGCGCAGTGGCGCCCTGGTACTTTGCGTCCCTCCTTTGAATGTATGCTGCTTCCGGAATGTCCTAGACGCGGTGCTGTTGCTTGCCTCCTTGAGCCCATGCCCTTCGCCTTCTCGGTAGTTTCCTTGTTGCTAAAGTAGCTTACGTTAAGCTACCGTGACTACTAACGATGTCTTGCTTTTACCCGGTCTTGACCCCCCCACCTCTTCATGGACTCCCCATGGTGAAAACGTGCTTCATCTCATTGTCTGGAGGCACTGGTCGAGATGGTTTTCAATCAAGGCGCGGTGACCAGTTGCTTTCCTTTATGTCGTCGTTTAGCAGACTGAAGAATTGTATCAAGAAATTTTTTAAAACAGACTCTGGATAAAAATTGACTCTGGGATGTCTTTGGGAATGTTTCTAATATTGTATTTCAACACCAGCACCCCAGCACAGCCCCTGAGCAAAGGCTGTAGGTGGCAGCCTGTCAGAACACAAGTCAAATCCAGATTATCGTGTGAGAATGAACACAAAACTGAACCAAAGCGCAGCCACACACTTTTCTCACATAGTCCGGCGGTCTCGGGGTTGCAACTACTTGAAGGCTATGAGACATCTCCGGTCATGGAGATTTCTACACAAGAGCATCAGCTTGACTTCAAGCGGAAAGAACAGCATGAGAACCTCAGTACCACACCTAGGCTCATCAAAAAGTCCGACGCGAGCCCACTCAGCAAAAGCAGCATCTGTGGAAAAGGGCTCAATCCTTGGCTTCGCAGACTCAGTACCCATAAATCCTGTCTATGCAAACTTGTCATTGTCAAGACTAGAGTCGGCTCAAGGCAAAGATCTTGAGGCTGCAAAGCCTCCACAAAGCGACTCATCTCCTCCGCTGACATCAGGTCACTCTTCCACATCATAGTGAATGGGTATCGAACACGTTCACCCATGTTGCACAGTGACTCCCCACAAAGCCTTGATCCAAAAACTGACACATGTCAAAAGCAAATGCCAACAAATGTCAACATCCAAAAACTGTCAACAGCAACAAAGCTTGAGTCCGGAGGACAAAAGTCGGATCTGAACCTTTTGAAGCTCAGGGCATCAAACAGTGAGTGCGGGAGCTTGTGCCGCCAGCATTGGCGGGTCGAGTCCGGCGGACAGGACAAGGTTTGAAGCTCCCCAAACAAAAGGTGGGGACCAGATCAGGGGGGTCTAGACCGGCTACCTGTTCATTTGATGTGTAGGGGGAAAACTTAGAGAATGTGTGGGAAAGTGTTTTGCGCTTTCTGCCGTTGATCTTCGCAAAATCTAGAAAATTTCTTTCGTATGCAAATTTAACTTTAGCTGTCTTTGTTGTTGTCTGGTAGATCTTATGTTGAACTTGTAAAATCTTTGCGTACCATCTATTAGATGTAAATGTTTTGCCTTGTATCAAGTGTTTGGAGCCTTCGTTCTTTGTCGATGTGTGGTGATGTGTTGTGACCTACACTTAAAAACTTAGACCTTCCTTTGAACAGGTTTTGCGTGGCTTTGTCGCTTTCCGCCGGACATCACATCATGACACGCGATCATGCAATCATTTTTTACTTCGGCGGACTTTGCAAATCAAATATTGAGCTTGTTAAGTTTAGATTATATATATATGATGTTCACTGCATTTTCAAAAACTTCTAAAACAAAGCACACAAACACTAAGTAAATGTCGGACGCCATTCGATTTGCTTTGGAAGCGCTATGGGTTCGTCAAAAAAACTCACTACAACAAATTCAATTTGACCGCAACAAATGAAGCCATGACCAAGTACACAACTCAATTAGAGTCAGGGTCCGTTTGACGGAACGTGACTAACCGTAGTCAGTCGAGTCAGGCCGGTAAAGTCTGTCCTGCTGCTTGCTGATTCCCAGAGAAGATGACAACAGAAGGCACTCCCTCATCATCGTAGCGCTGGACCCCAAGCTCCTGGGTCACAGTTCTTGGCTATCACCCTAGCGATGACACTTCAATGAACTTGGCTCGACTTGTGCCAATACCGTACCCAATAATATAATTTGGGGCACCAACATCATGTGATGTCATTGAATCATATGAGTAGTTATTATTATTAGTATTAGTCCATACACCTGTCCTGTTCTGCAAAGAGATACTTCTCCTCCGTAGTCCCCCAGTCTTGAACGTTGAACCCATGCTCTGTCAAGAAGTAGGCATCCAGGGGCTGCACCTCACCTTCATTGTAAAGGTCCGCGTAGCGCTCTTCCTTTTTGAGCACTGAGAGGTCTATCTTCTCGTGCTGTTTGCGCACTGGCTGAGCGTTCTACTCGCGCTTGCTCTCCCAAGTGTTGTTCAGCTCCTGCAAACATGCTGACTCCGACTCGGTGGCCCTTACTACTACCAAGCAAGGACGCTACTAGGGTCTTCTGGCATCGCTACTAGGAGCAAGAACGTTACTAGGGGCTCCTGGCCTTACTACTAGTGAAGTTACTAGTGGCAAGGACTCTTCTCAACTGATTCTCAAATTCTCAACCGGACCAGTTCTGTTTTTTTGAGACTGGAGTCCCCATCCAAGCGAGCCCTTCCAACCCATCGAGCAAATCGACGCGCAGCGAGAGAACAACAAAGAACTTGAACTAGGGGCTCCTGGCCGTACTACGAGGAGCAAGTAAGGACTCAATCTTCGACCATGGCCCTGGCTATACCGATACCGTTACCTACTTCACTCATCCAATGCCTACTTCGCCCCATTGTTTTCCATCCACGTTGAACGGGTCCGGGACGGTCCGGTGCACTCCAGCGGGACTGCAGCGCGATTTCATTCCAAGATCCACTGCCCTACATCCGATCGTGGTCACACAAACCAAACCACCAACATGAACCCTGACACAAGAACGAAAAAACAACCCACACACACACTGATCATCGGAGCTGAGCTATCTCACCTATGTGACCGACGACCGGCCAGCAGGATCAATTCTGCTGCTCGGCTCTGCTCGCAGCAAATCAAGCCACAGCAATTCGTGGCTGTCGCGGTCGCGAAAACTCCAAACCACATGGCTTCAATGAACAGGGCTCGGTCACAGACAGGTCCAGTCTAGTCTAGACAGTCTAGTGTCCAGTCTAGTGTAGTCAGTGTAGTCAAAGTCTAGTCTACAGTCGACAGTCTACAGTAGTCAGTAGTCGACAGTCTACAGCAGTCTACAGTCTACAGTTGATGGAAGTTCACCTTGAAGTCAACGTGCCATTCATGTGACCGACAAGCAATTCCCTTGGCTTTCTGCCAAATGTATCTAAATGAAAATGTACATTTTGGCAGTCTGCCAACATTCCGATTCCAGGATTCAAAGATGACTCAATCATCCTCTGGAACAAAGACGATCGTCCAACCATCCTCATCCTCCGCCACCGCCGCAGGCAACGGCAAAGGCCTTGCAAGTCGCGCAGCAGGAAGTGACATGAGGTGTAGGCGCTGGAGCCATTCATCACCGGTGAATGGTTGGTTGAATTGGTTCAAGATCATCCATCCAATATAGTGCATCGTGCGGCAGTGGATCTTCTGGTCGACCGCTTGCATCGATGTCCAGGTCTCAGCATATAGTGAACAAGAGTGAACACAGTTAATATTTAAAGTCCGCGGCCATTCAAACGACACAATCGACAATTGCTCACACTCGCACAGCGGCATCCCAACCCAAACAACGCACAAACAGTCAAACAGCCCACTTGTTTCCATTCAAGTCGCAGACCGGCCATCATCGTAGGCGCATTGAACACTGAACTTCAAGTCGTGTTTCTTGACCTGCGGCGAATCCTCGCAGGCAAAGGACTTGAAGCAAATCGCTGGAAGCGCATCATCATCCACTGCCATCTCCCAGGTTCCGCAGGAGCCGATAGCGAGGCGTTTCGTCCTGCAAAGAACAGATCAACTTGAAACACCCTGACCCTCCCTGAAACAAAGTGGAATACAGCCTGTTCGTAGAGGAAAACAGTCTTGCAAGGGGCCATGTTTGTTGGATGGAGGGTAAGTTGAATGAGATGAAATTTCCAATGAACAATGTCTGACTCTGACTCTGACTGTTTGACTTAAACTCAGTCAGGCTTGCCGCGCCTCGTTTCACGTTGGAATACGATTTGGCCTTCCTTGGAAGGGGCTGAACCTTGCTGATCTCCACCTCCACTGAAGTGACCGTGCACAAGGAACACCCACTCGTGTCGTCTTGAGCTCGAGTGGTGATAGAATTTGAACACGGACACACGCGGCATGGCCAATCGAGGGATGAGTCTGATGCGTGCGGTCAATTGATATCAGTTGAGTCAGTTGCTGCAAACTGTAGTCACTCCCTTACCGGTTACTGTCAACCAGTTGAGGAGGCTCTGCTACTGTAGTTCATTGTTGGTTACTGTAGTTGGACAGTGACATGGATAGATGATCGATGGAAATTGTCATTCACCAACCATGTGGCTCCAAAATCGCTGCAATTGAAGCAAATGCAATCGAACTCTAAAGAATGAATCATGAATCGTGCGCGCACCCTGACCAGAGTCCTCATTCTCATCCTTCATCGTGTTCAGTGTTCTTTGAGCAATTCCTCCGAAGTTCTTGACTCTGGTCACCTTGGAGAGAGATACTGAGAGACTGAATACGATAATATGACTCATGCCCGTCGAGGTCGATCGATGTCCGGCGATGTCAACGATGACCAATGTCCGTCGTACTCAAAACAATGAAACATGAAGAGCTGCCAGCAGTCTTTTGCGCTCATGGCCATTCAGGGCTCACTGGTTGATTCCATCCGCTAGATTCCAAAGACTCATTTGACTGGAGTCGATTAAAAGCCCCAAAGTGATCTAGATCAGGTCCGTATCTTGCAAGTCCCAGTCCTCCACTTTGGATAATGGGGGCCATTGGGGGCCGTTTCAACCAATAAGGGCCATTGGAACCATTCAAAACCATTGGGGACCATTGACTCTGAGATCTTCTTCACTTTGGCATCACATTAGAGCTCAAAAGGCAATTGAGGGGGTTTCAGAAATGCCCGGAGTTGTCTCAAAGCTGAAACTGAGTTTCACATACGCACTCATTGACATATCATTGTTCGTGTGCAACAAAACTCAAATACGCTAAAGACAGATCATAAGCCAGGGCACAATTAAGGCCTCCAAGTTGTTGATAAAATTCTCCCTGCAAGGATCATCTTCACCATCTTCATTGCGTTCATCAAAGTACCGTCCGTCATCCAAATCGCCTAAGAGAATTTCTTGACCTGAGTGCAAGCTGACTGACTTCCAATCTGATGGTCAACAATTGAACAGTCCGACGGACAGGCAGAATGCAAAATCGATGGGCAGAGA